GGGAAGAAGAATTTGGGCTTAAATGAAATAGTTATTTTTTAAGAAAAGGTTAATTAATGTTTGAAGAATTGATATATTTTAAAAAGAATATTTAACGGAGGGGTTAAACTCTTGGTTAGTTGTTACACTAAAGTGGACTCCTGATTAAGGACAGCTGGAATCATTTTATTGGGTTAGTAGAGAAGGGAGTAGAGAGAAGTTAGTAGGAAATCCTGAGTATTTCTGCCCTTTTATATATATATATATATATATATATATATATATATATGTTTTAAAAAGTTAGTCTATTATTTATGTTAAAAATGTTACTAATATTAGGGCCCAAAAGTTAAGCTAGAATCTCCAAATTGTTTTTAATGAATATAAATTTATTTTTTATATTTTCAGTAATTTTGACCAATTATTAGTGATTTTAGCAATTCAATTATTAAAAATTGTTGATTTTGGTAATTTAATTTTGTGGAAGTTAGATTATAAAATTTTCCAATTATTCAAATAAATAATTAGAAAATTTTAATCATTTCCATAAGTATTGGATACTACGTTTATAATTACCATAATTATTGGATCTGCATTTATGGGCTTGGGGGATGACCCCTCATGTAGGAATGGCAATGGGTCTGGGTGGGGATCATATTTCCCATCATGACCCTAAGTTTAAAATTAATTCCCATTTGGAAAAAATTATCTTGCATCCTCGGTCCCCGACGAAGATGGGTTCTCCATTGGGTACTTGAATCCCCGAATTTTTTAATTAAAAGTTTATTTTCAAAAAGATATTTATTTAAAATAAAGGAAAAATTACAATGCAAATAATAGTTTAAATATATAATATAAAAATATTATAAATTACATAAATAATGTTATATTATGAATATATATATAATTGAGGTTGGGGCGGTGTGTGAATTTCACACCCCGTCCTCGTTCATATCCCTAATTGGGTATTCCTATTAATCCCATCCCCACCCTGTCCCTACTAAGGTAGTCACCATCCCCATCCACTTGGTTAGAGAGGTTGGGTATAGGGTACTTAGTGGGGATGGGGAAGACTGTCATTCCTACCCTAGGTTGTGTAGCCCCATCGAGCAATAAGTTTTTAAGCCTTCTTAAGTTTTAACATATTTTCCCTTACATCACACAGATCCGCTAATAATCTATACTACATATAAAAGTGTGAATGCAGTGTGAAATGTTTTTTGGAATAAAATTACCCTCTATTACTTTGTTTGATAAAGGGTATAAAAGTCATTTTATTATAGAGGGTACTTAGTGGGGATGGGGAAGACTGCCATTCCTATCCTAGGTTGTGTAGCCCCATTGAGCAATAAGTTTTTAAGCTTTCTTAAGTTTTAACATCTTTTCCCTTACATCATACGGATCCACTAGTAATCTATACTATATAAAGTGTGAATGTAGTGTGAAATGTTTTTTTGGAATAAAATTACCCTCTATTTCTTTGTTTGATAAAGGGTATAAAAGTCATTTTATTATAGATTTAGTGCCACCTTTAATGGCTACTATAATGGTCATATTTGTCTATTTAATCCATCTCTAATTGTAAGGGTTCAAAGTGTAATTTCAATTATTATTTTCCACCTTATTTAATCCTTTCTCATTAAGTCTTATACTCAAGGTATTAAATCCCATTTTCTCTCTCACTTTTTTTTTTTTTTTGATAAAACCATATGGGGCTACACAAACCGGGGGGGGGGGGGGGGGGGGGTAGCACGTCCCCACAAATCACTAGAACAAGTAAAAGCAAAAGGTCAAGGAAGCTTACAAAGATTAAATGAAACAAAACCTAGGTCAGACGACTGGGCTTCATGGGCTTTATGAGCCAACCAATCAGCAGTTTGATTCACTTCGCGGTAAACGTGTCTGTAGGTGATTCCTTTCTCACATTTCTCCCATTTTCTCTTATTAAACCCTATATTCTTAAGTTATTTTTCACTAACAAATGCTTTTAATTAGATATATGTCAATATTTTTAATAATATAAGTTCATATATTTTAAAATTGACTCAAAAACAAAACCATTCTTTATCCAAGTGGTGGCTAAGCAATTCAACCATTTGGATCAAATTAATCAACCTATGAAGTTATAGTTAGGTGATAAAATTTTTAAAATAGAAATAAATATAGAAAATTACAAAAAATGTAAAAAAAATTAGACACATTTATGATATTTTTATTAATCAAATTAAAAAATAAGTGTAATAAACAAGAATTATTTTTATTGATAATGAAAATGAAATGCATAATTTAGAACTAAGCAAAAATGAAATGCAAAAATTAATAATAAATAGTTTAACTTTTGGGTTAAATGTGTTAACCTTTAATGTCATAAATTAATAAAATGTAAAAATATCAAAATAAAAAATACATAATTTTTTTTCAAAAAAATACATTCAGGCACATGTATAATATCATGTATTTATCATAATAAACAAAAAGTAAAAGTGTGACATGTCAGAATTATTTTTATACACAAAAATACAAAAAATTGAACACATCTATAATTCTATATTTACACTACTATTAAAAATATGAATAAGATTGTGGAACTTTTTTTTGACTAAAATCAAGGTTTTAAAAACCAACCCGGAAATGAAACCACTTTGGCTTTCAGTTTCTGGATCAACGGTTTAACCGTCTAGTTTGAGCGGGGTCAAACCAGTAAGATGTAAAATATAATGTACCGTTAGATTAAGATTTGGTTTAAGTCCACCATATATATACATTATTATGAGAGGGGAGTGTGAGACTTTGAGAAGGAGGCAACTAGTTAAAGCTGGGAAGTGAGAAAAAACAAGAAGAAGAAGAAGAAGAAGAAGAAGAAGAAGCACCATTGGAGGTGGTTGTCACCATGTTCACCGATCATTGTACTGTTTTCCCGAAGAAGAAGAGGAAAAAGAAAAGGAAGGAATTGTCACCAACGGCTATCTCCATGTTCATCATCACTGCCGCTATAGTGTCATTTGCCCTATAATTACATCTCTCTAAATCTCTATCAGATCCTATATTGTTCCATTCATTAGTGTATCTTAGATTTTTAATATAAGATTGGTGTTTAATATCTAATCTCTTGCATTGATTTTTTGATTTCTTTATTGGAGTTACATTTTTTTTTTGTTGTTACAACTTAAAAAGAACTACACAAACGAGAAAACTAAAAATCAAAATGGAAAAACTAAAACCCTAACTAATTTTAGCCATTGGGAATAACTGAACAAAATTATGAGATATGAAAATTTTTTTTCAATTATTTTTATTTTCTAATTTCTATTTTAAAATAAATAAAAAATTTGGAATTAGCTTGAAAGCAACATGAGAGCCGTTAACCGAGTGAACATTTTAACGGTTAAACCATATAGGTCATCGATTCTTTAATCATTTCAACGGTTTTATTAAAATAGCGGTCTGGGACCAAAACGAAACCAATGACCTAAGTGGTTCTCGGGCCAAACGGTTTGACTGTTCGGTTTGGTCCATTTTTTAAAATAGTGACAGAAAGACTCATTCTCATTTTTGAATTTAATCCCTATTTAATTGTAAGGTTTAAATTTTAATTTAAACTATTAATTTTCACTTCATTCAATTCTCTTTATTTAAATCTTACATTTTTTTTGATAAATAAACAAAAGAAAAAAGATACACCAAAAAGATAAAACACTACAAAAAGAAGAGTCTAATCAAGCAGGTAGGCCTCTTAATGGTACTTAAAACTTCACAATTTGATTTGATTATCACATATTTGGATGAATTGTTTATTTAATCAGTTTTGGATTTTGCAATCTGTCTTTTTTTAATAATAAAAAAATAAAAATAAAAAATACATAAAATTTATAAAAAAATTGAATATATTATTACTATAATTATCATCATCTAAAATTGTCACAAATTACTTATATTTTCTTATTAATATAATGTAGAAGTATAGATGGGAGATGTTATTAATACACGGTGTCCCAGATGGGATTGTTAGGTTTGTGTGAGGTATGCTTGAGATTAGGCTTGTAAACGGATTGAATTCGAATCAAATCAAGCTAGATTCGAATTCAAAACCGATTATACAGAATAACATTTGAATTTGATTCGATATATGATGGATATCAAATGTTTCAATTCGAATTTGAATTCGATCGTCGATGCTGAGTCAGTGAGTGGATTGAGAGAATGAGTGATAGAGGAGAAGATGATAGATGATTGAGGAGAGGCGAAGCTGTTGAGGATGAGAGGCAGTGGTCGATGATGGTGGTTGCTTGGGCAGCAGACGACGGCGAAGGGAGAGATGGAGGGTTAAGGTTAGAGTTTGAAACTTGAAAGTTGAAAGGAGATGGAGATTAGAAAGAGGTAAGGTTCAGTGTTCGAATGTTCTCATTGAGAAATTTCTAAAACTGCTTTTTTTTTAACCTTCTTTTTAGTTATATATATATAATCGGTTTAAATTAATGCATATCCAAATTCAATTCGATAATTTAATCAATAAAAAAAGTCTTCAAATTTGATCGAATATCTGATTCGAATTACCCGAATTCGATTTGATTACGCCGATTGTCGGATTCGATTTCGGATTTTTGAATACCGTTTACAGGTCGAGAGCACTCCCGATTGTCGTGATACGGGTGTTGTGATGGGTACGGAATGGGAAATTTAGAGACGGGTAAGAGCATTTACAAAACCCGCCCCGTTGCCATCGTTAACTTGCAGGCAAAGAATTTCCCCGGCTAAAAATGAAAAAAAAAAAACCGCTGTATGCTTGTATCCCAACGGTCGATTGCAACTCTCGTCGTTTTGCTTATGCCTTAAGTCACAATCATGGTGGCACACCCTTTGAAATGGGGTGTTCTCCAATACAATAGGATCAATATGAATGATATACCTATACCTCTAAATTTCCCAAAAATGGTGAAGCGTGATGATTGCACCAGGTGGACAAATTCGTAGCAAGTATAAAAGGGCGGGAGAGAGAGAGAGTCTCTTCGCACACATAAATTTCGCGGGGGAGGGTGCTGGAGATTTGGTCCTTTCCTGCATAGCTTCGAGGGATCTCCAGCCTCCGGTCTTCTCTTCCGTGCGAGATCGAGGTAATAAGAAATAATCTATCAAAACCCATCAATTTGAACCTCAAATTCAATTTCAATTCAGTATTGAATGAATTTTCAAAATCGGTTTATTGTTTCCATTTGGATTATAATTTTCATGGAATATCTTTCTGCCTTCGTAGAATTAGCGTCTGACACCAATATGCCGTTCTTGATTCTAAATTGTAGGCTGGTACCCGAATCTGAAAGGTGCCCATTATTTGCAGAAGCAATTTCTCTCCCTTGGGGTTTAATTGCAACATTTCAAGTTTCTGATCGATCAAAAGAAGGGAATAGAAAGGAGAAATTTTCAGAGACCAAGTTTTGTAATTGTAAATATTTAGTGGCTCAAAATGGGTGTAATGTCAAGGAAAGTTTTGCCAATATGTGACGGGCTCTGTTTCTTATGCCCTTCGATGCGGACTAGATCAAGGCAGCCAGTTAAGAGGTACAAGAAGCTGATCGCAGATATTTTTCCTCGTTCTCAGGTTTGACACATATCTATACCTTTGTTTAAATTGTGATAGTCGTTTGTCGTTGATAATGATGGTTCCGTCCTCTTTCATTTCTTTATATATAGTTATTGTTGTTGCATGTCTTGTATTAATTTTCAGTTGATGTGTAGGAAAGCTTTTTTTCTTATATTGTTACATTGATATCATTGTGTAGTGGATGTGCCCTGATTGAAGTGAGTAGAATGACATTTTCAGTTCCTCGCTCTGTATTAGAGTGGAATTGGCAGTGCAAAACTTGTAATTCTAGACGAATTGAAATATCAATTGGTACAAGTGATTATTTATTTGCGTTTTCACTGAATGACATGTTTTTGTCGTATTAACAGAGGCTTCTTTTTCTCTCTCTCTCTCTTTTTTTTTTTTGGTAAGAAAACGAATTCATTACTTCAGCTGCATAAAATAAGATTGACCAATATCAGTACAAGAGTCAAATAAAATTTAGAAGCTAACCTGGAAGCTCTCCAAATATCCCTTAAATCAAGGTATCTTTGTCATGGATAGGCAGATCATCGACCAAATCCTTATTGCTAATGAGAGTGTGGAGGAGCTCAAATGATCTGGTAAGAAAGGTTTGATTTGCAAGCTCAATCTAGAGAAGGCATATGGTTTGGTGGACTAGGATTTCTTGTTGGAAGTGATGAGGAACTTTGGCTTTGGAGATAGGTGGTGTAAGTTGGTTAAAGGCTGCATTAGCACTTGTCAATTGTCATTACTAAATTCTGGTAAATGGTTTAGTAGTGGATCATTTTTCAGCGGTTCAGCCATTAGAGGTAGGTATTAGACAAGGGGATTCCCTCTCTCCTTTCTTATTCTCCCTGGTAGCTGAAGTGCTAGGAATCCTTATCTAGAGGGCAGATATGAGGGGTTTGGTGAAAGGTTGGAGAGTGGGAAGAGAAAAGTGCCTATTACTCACTTGCAATTTGCGGATGATACCGTTTTATCTTGTGAGGGAGGTGATCTAAATTACGTGAGGAATTTGAAAGAGGTGGTCTCTAAGACTAAGAGTTGTGTGACAGGCATTAACATGGATGATAGAGAGGTATCTGAATGTGCAACAATTTTGGGTTGTGAGGTATGCCAGTGGCCACTGAATTATTTGGGACTGCCTCCTCTGGGGGGGGGGGCAACCCTAGAAGTGTGAATTTTTGGAACCTGGTGGTGGATAGTGTTGAGCAAGAACTAGAGAAGAGAGGAGAATAGAGAGGGAGAGAAGAGAGGAGACTCGAGTGGACTGAGAGTCCTCCTTAACTCAGTGGGCGAGAGTTAGTATTATTATTTATACTGGCCCAGTCATACAACATAAAGACAAGAGAAAATTACAATAGTACCCTTGCGGTACTAAACCTGAGAACATAAACAACTGTTAACACTTCCCCTCAAGTTGGAGCATAGATATCAATCATGCCCAACTTGTCACACAGATCATGATGTCTGGAATGGTTTAGACCCTTTGTAAAGATGTCTGCAAGTTGGTTCTCAGAATTGACATAGGGAGTACACACWTYGCCTGTGATGACTTTCTCTMTGATAAAATGCTTGTCAACTTCAATGTGTTTTGTTCTATCATGTAGCACCGGATTGGCAGCAATGTTTATAGCTGCTTTGTTATCACAGAATAGAGACATAGGTTTGTCCACTAAGAAGCCCAACTCACTCAACAAATTCTTTATCCACATGCCTTCAGCTACCCCGTGGGCCATAGCACGATATTCRGCTTCAGCAYTGGATCTAGCCACCACATTTTGCTTTTTACTCCTCCATGTAACAAGGTTCCCTCCTATAAATGTGTAGTAGCCATTGGTAGACTTTCTGTCACTTTGGGATCCATCCCAATCTGCATCTGTATAAACCTCAACTTTTAAATGTCCGTGCTTTTGAAATAACAAACTAGCACCCAGATACTTCTTTAGATATCGGAGGATTCTCTCTGCTACTTCAAGATGAGAGGACCTAGGAGCATGCATGAACTGACTGAGGACACCAACAACATATGCAATGTCTGGGTGAGTCATAGAAAGGTATAACAACCTCCCTACAAGCCTTTGAAACTATTTCACATCCTTGAGAGGTTCACCTCGACTGTCACCTAATTTATGGTTGGGGTCAATGGGAGAGTCAAAGAAGATACCCTTCTTTGATCAGGCAACTTCAATTCCAAGGAAGTATCTGGCAGGTCCTAGATCCTTCACTTCAAAYTRAGTGGCAARAAARARYTTCAAYYTCTGAATTTCATCCTCCCAGTCACCAGTAACAATTATGTCATCTACATATACAATTAGGGCAGCAATTTTACCTTATTCTCTTTTCACAAACAGTGTGTGATCTTATTGACATTGCTTGTATCCTTTCTGCTGAACTGCCACATGGAATTTGTTGAACCCAGCTCTTGGTGATTGTTTCAGCCCGTATAAAGATTTCTTCAACTTGCACACTTTCTGTTCATTGCMTATGTAAACTTCCTCTTCAAGGTCACCATTCAAGAAAGCATTCTTGATGTCAAGCTGATGTAAATCCCAATCCAAATTAGCAGCAAGGGAGAAAAGGACTCTAATATTGTTCATCTTGGCAACAGGAGCAAAAGTTTCAGCATAATCAACTCCTTACACTTGAGTAAACCCCTTTGCCACTAAGCGAGCTTTGTACCTCTCCACTGTTCCATCAGCCCTATGTTTGACAGTGAACACCCATTTACATCCAACTGGAACCTTTCCCTTAGGAAGATCAACAAGATCCCATGT